ACAGAACACCTACAAACCATGGAGAGCAACAAATAGTAATGTTTATGAACCACAAAATCCACAAAACCACAGTAATAGCAACAGCAGCAGCAGCAGCAGCAACGGCAACAACAACAGCTACGGCTACAGAAAGCTACAGCAAGAACATATTACAATATATTTTATTTTTTTAATTTAATTATTTAAAGTAAACGAGGAGAAACAAAAATGCAAGCGATAATTATTTTAAACGTTAAGTAAATTTAAATTATAAATTAAAGCTAAAAATAAGATTTAAATAAAGTATAAATGAAAACAAAACAAACAAACAAAAAACGAACAACAAATTTCGAAGAAACACCAATCACAACCAGACAAAACAACAACAAGAACAACAAACACAAACCCAAACCAGTAACTAAGCAAAACAGTAAACACAACATGTTTTTAGTAAAATTATTAACGTAACGAACTGGATGAGAAACGATTATTTAAGCAGAAGCTTATCGAAACAATAACAAGATCCCAAGCTACAAACAAAAAAAAATAAAGCTAACACATACACACTCGCACAGACACAGACACCGACACACTCACAAACACTTACACACACCGATACACAACGCATGACGAGACAAAGTATATAAGAAGTTTAGAGAAATTATAAAACGAAGTAAATAAAAAAGTAAAAGAGGAAAAGAAAACAATGAAAAACCTTAGCGTAGTTACCAATTAAGCCGTGAAGAGTAAACCCCCAATAAAAAACCACAACAACAACAACCAAAACAAAACAAAAAACAGAAATTAATTTGCAAAACTTGTGTGTGAAAAACGCAGCTTAGCGCAGAAGAACGAAATATATATATAAACAGACAAACAAACAAAAACCACAAGAAATGTGAACAAGAGGAATATAATTGTTTATATATATACACACATATATTATATGGAAAAAAATTTGATTATATAAATGGAGCTATAAAAAAAAGTACACCAAAAAACCAAAATTGAATCCATAACGAAGTCGACCGAGATCGGCACTTGGCTTTGCGCTGAGAGCCGGGAGTTATGGGTCGCCGAGCGATATTCGGGGGCCCGCCGGCGATTTGCGGTGAAGAATTTGTTAAACTCTAAAGAAAAAAACCAACTAAATGTTTATAAATAAACCCCTTTAAACCAATTGACATGCAATATTATGCTTTGTGTGCATTTAAGCCCAAAAGGACCGATGCAGAGATACGGTGGGGTTAAGTCCCCCGATATCGTCGATATCGAGATACAGATACCGTTAACGATACCTAGGCCCAGAACGAAAAAAATAAAAAACAAAACAAAAAACATTGAAAACAAAAACGAAACCAAAACCAAACAAAACAAAAAAAGCGCCCACAAAATAAATGTTTGTAAGTTTTACACGGCACAGCGCCCCAAAATGGGGCAAGCCCAAGGCAGTATTGTGTTTACTTTTTTCTTTGATTGTTTTTTATCGCTTTCCCCGCCCACACACGCCCCCAAAAACAAAAAACAAAACAAACACAACACGAACGGTTGAGCGGTCAAATTGTTGGCCACCACATTGAAATTCAACGAATTAAAAAGCTTGGCATTGTCGTTATCAAATGAGTGGGTCTGACAAAGGCGGCTAAGGCTGGCTAATTGAGAATTTCAAATTGTGAATTGTGAAAATTGAGAAATAATTAGAGGAAATCAGAAATCAGAGAGCGTTATTCCGATATATAAATTCAGATATTCGGATGATATTCAATAAGCTCGGCTCAGGCTGACGGTCACACCCACGCAGAGAGATACAACCAGACATTCGAGTTTAATTCGCTGCTGTTTTCGTTTTCCAACTGTCTTGTTTTCTAACTTAGTGAAGATGATCATTAGCATTGGAGATAACGATAATTATGGCATGTTAGTTATGAAAAGAAAATGAAAAACTAAACAAAATTATTATTATTAGTTGTTAACAAATTATATTGAGTAATTAATAATATTGATCGATGGATGCTGATGTGAAAGAGATATGATACTAAACTAAAAACAAAAACGAAGCAAAACAAAAACCAAACGAGGACAAAAACAAAAGAATAAATAAACTCATAATATGGACTACAAATATTTATAAACAAATGCAGAATTATATAAACGTTCGATGGTAAAAGCAAGAACTTGAAATAAAAACAAAAAAACAAAAACCACAACAAATTTGTCAACAACACGCAGAAGTAAAAATTTGCATGTAACAACAAAACAATGAGTAAACATTTTTAATTTTTTGTTCTTTCGCCCTCCGCTGTAAATGTATTTGTAGATTTAAACAATGATTAAAATAAAAAACTACATAAATAAAACTTAAAAAAACAAATCAAGTACTTTTATTTTTAAATGGAAATCTAGCTATATTGTTTGATGACAGTCCTGTCATTAGAATTTTAATTGATATGACATTTAATAGCAAACGCTGAACTTTAAGAATGTCATAAATAATGTAACCTTAAATTATTATTCCGAAAAAGACTCATGATTTTATGATTGCATTAATTCATTCGCCGAATTGAATTGTCGTGCCAAATAATCATACAAAAATCGCCATGTTTTTATGCCTACACACACGCTGGAAACGAGGCTATAAACAAAAATATATTGCTCATACGCCCGGTGTGCACCCCTGCCGAATGGTTTCAGGACCGTAACGAATACAAATAGAAAAGCGTACAAAACCAACAACAATGAAAATTGGGAAGCCAACTACACAAGGAAAGAAATGGTTGTGAACACACAAAAACCCATAAATGTGTGTGTGTGTTTTCGACAATGTGTCTGTATTTACGACTGTACTTACAGCAATGACTTGCAGCGTTTTCCTCTTTTTTCGCTGCTGCTTTTGCTGATGATGTTGCCATTGCTACGTCTACATGGCTATAAGGCTATGGCTATGGGTATGGCTATTGTCGCGGCAGGTCTCTCAGGGGCAACTTGGGGAGGTCGCTGCGACAGCGGCAACATTTGGGTCTTATTAATTTCCGTTTTGCTTATTTATTTTTACGACGCCTCGCACAGCTCGCAGTTCGCGGCCCGTCAGCCATCGGGGTCCCCAAAACTCATACGCAGACGCCATCGCAGAAAGAACATTTGTGCGGGATTCCACCGCTGAAGGCACTGCTCTGCCCTACCATAAAAGAGGCAGGCATATTCCATGGCAGAGTCTCAATAAAACAGCGGGAGTGGGATTAGTGAAATATATTGTTATTAATTTGGTAATATTTCACAACGCAACACGTAGAATATTTAGAATATGCAAATACATTTTGAACAGTTTTAAATAGTTTATTAAACACAGAGCATAGTATTTTTTAAATTTATGGCTTAGAATCATTTTTGAACTATTTATTTTGGATTTCCTGGGTATCCGAATCTCATTAAACTCCAAAATACAAACTTAAAAATCATAAAAATTATAATTTAGCGCTAAGCGTTAAGGTCTACTATTCGAAAATTATCTAATTTATCAATACTTTATTAAAAGCCATTAAATACAAGATTTATTTTATCTAAGCCATTTTCTTTATGTAACGATATTTTAGGGTATCATTTAGGAAAATTTAACGCATGAAATACAAATTGGAAACTGAAAGTGCATAATTTAGCAAGCGAGCTTAATAAATTTCTAGACGTGTTGTTGTATAAAGTAGACAAGCGAAAACTGTGTAATCAACTAAATGTAAATTATACAGAGGAAAGCTATTTTCCGGTCATACCCCTATTAATTAAGTTATTTTTAAAAGTTGACTTCATCTATTAGGGCTATAATATTTTAAATGATTTTTACTGTTTACATTTCTAGCTAACTGCAATACCTTTTTTAATTTTAAATTGTAGTTTTTACAGATGGGTTGTATATAAATGTTTAGTCAAACTAGAGTTCTAAACGTTCAGTTCAGACTGACAAGTGATTACTAAATCAAATGAGAACTAGTTAAGTTTTCAATTTTTATGACAAACTCTTAAAACGTAATATTGACTTTCAGTTCAGAAAGTAATTTATGAGTGCTTTTTGTCCAAATGTTAAGTGTTGTTCATCATGTTTCTAGTTAAGGAAATTAGCGTTACCTTTTTATCTTCACCTATACTTTCTTGAACTGTTTACGAAGCTCTTAATAAGTAAAGAGGAAAGATACCACTTAATAATAATCATTGTAATGATTTTTGCATTGAATTTATTTGATATATAAGAAATGTAAATAAGATAATTGCAGCAATACATTTACCTGATAAAGGAATCCAATTATTGAGCTGATAATTTACAAATATTATATGAAGAATGCAATATATGTGAATATAATAACCTTGATTTTATATATTTTTTATCGGCATTCAATGTAAATAATTATACCACATACCGTATCATATAAATATGCCATAAATGTGAATATAATAACCTTGCTTTCATATATATTTTTATCAACATTCAATGTAAATAAATAAAAATTTATATTTTATCTGCAAATAATTAATTTCTACTGACCCGCTTTTATCTGTACTCAATGTGGATAGACCGTTTTTATATCATAGGGTATATGAAGGCTCAGCAGCAACTTTTTTCCAACCGACTTAACACGGGCGTCAAAAACTTACGCGCTTGCTTGTCTAAGACAGCGGGTGGTGGAGAGGTAGGGGGACATCTAACCCCTACTCCCCTCTTAACCACTGACAGAATGCGCCAGTGCAACGAGAGAAACCTGGGGAAAACAAAATAGAGAAGAGCAAAGGGGCAAATGCGAAAAAGAGAAGCAGAGTGAGAGCGGCGCAGTTGTTATCGCCTGGTTAGTTAGTGTTCCATTTCCCATTCCGTTCCTTATCCTGTGTGCACTTTCTTCCTTATCTTTCGACCGCTGCTCTTCGTGTGCACTTCGTGCTGCCCTTCGTGCTTTACCGTTCGGCTTTTTTTGTTAGAGACAGTCGGCCAATGTGGCAGTCGGTTAGTGGCTCGCAGGTTAGTCTTTCATTATCCGGCGTATGAGCGTGTAACGTTTTTCCGTGATTTTAACACGCAGCAGCGGCATATACAACAGCGGCAACAGCAACAGCAACAAAAAACAACGAAGAGAGCAAAAACCAAAACAATAACAACAACAATTGAAGAGAACAGCAGCGGCAAACGCTGTTTTTCGCTGCGCTTCTCCTATTTTAAGTGCCGAGCGTTTTACTATTTTTACTACACAGCCAATACATACACACACACCCGCAATTGCATGATTATCTATGTGTGTTTCTGAGTTGTGTTAGAAACAACAATAATAAAAACAACAACAATAACAGTGTTAAATGCTAGTGAAATGATCTTCCACAAATAAGTTTTGAAATAAATTCGAGAGCGAAATGATTTGAATGAAGAAATGCCAAGAAAGTGCAGCAGCAGTAGCCGAGTAAAAAATGTTGGAAAGCCGAAACTAGGCTAAATATCTTTGCATACTTTTGGGAAAGTTGTGCGGCACAATATATATATACACACTCGCACACACAGAGGGACAAACATATAAGGACAACGGCAGGTCCTGCGCCTGCGGTCGCCGACATTTGAACCTGTTTTCTGACCATTGACCGCCGGCCGCCTCTTTTCACTTTTGGCAACGCGAACTGCAGCAGCCGCTAAAAGAGGCACGGAAAATGTGAGAAATAAGTAGTAAGAAGGGAAAATGTGCACAAAAACGGCATAAAACCAACAAAACTGGCCAAAGAGTTCAGAGTAGTGCGGTTCAACAGCCTCCGGTTGTTCGTCGTGGCAAGCTGAAAACTCGCAAATTCGGCGGCAGCTTCGTGCATCTGTATCTGTGTATCTGGTTGCATCTGTGTGCGGGCATCCTGCATCCTGCAGCTCTGCAGCTCGGTAGCTCAGCAGCGAAAATTGTGTCAGCAGCATCGGCAGCGGATCCTGCAGCTCGCCAGACTGGCGCCTCCATCTCCGATTGCCGGTAATGTATTCACTTTTTACCCGTTTTACCCAAGCGTAGCTCAGCCACTCATACGCCCCGTGTGCGTGCGTGTGTGTGTGTACGAGCGGCTTAGACATTACGCATACGTACCGTGTGCGGGTGGTCTTACCTTGACAACGGACGAGGCCAGTCCGTGACAATTGTCAGTTTGTTTTTCCATTTTCGTTCCGTTTCGCTATCGATTAAGGCCTCTCCCCTCCCTTCTCAGTTGCCCTTTGTCTGCGAATTAGCGACTACTTCTGGGCCATGCAGCATATGGCTTTGTCCACCGTCTTTTGTCTAACGCCTAATTGAGTCTTTTGTGCGACTCAAAAAACAAGCAGCCACCGCAGAGGAAAAGAAAAGCAAATGAGGAGCCTAGCTGAGTTTGTCTATGGTTCGAAGTTCATATACCCTTAGCAGGACATTGTATATTTTCTAGTTAAAGGTCAATCATGACTCAATTAAAAGGTGAAGCAGGTCAGTTTCTGGATATTAACTAAACTCCTCAAAATTGAAGAAAACCGACCTCAGATGGCAGATTTATAAAGACGAAAATTTAGCAACAGTTCTTCTTTTCTAATTTACTGAGTAGTGCAGTAGCTTTAAAATGATATTTATAGGTTTCTTTTCCCTATGATGGAGTCGACTAAACTGTGCTAGAAGTATCATTCGGCTAACTAGGGTATCGAAAGAGAAAGGCAAGGAAAACAATCAACAAGGAGGCAAGTAAACAATTGGAAAGCGGAGCACTCGCGACTCCTGCCCAAGTCAGGCAGCCACTTGAGTTTTTCCAGCACGTTTTCTACCCATCAATGGGCGGTGGGTGGCTGGCAATTGCCTTTGTCAATATCAGTCAAACTGTTCGTTTCACTCGCCTGACATTTGCTTACCATTTCAGTTTAGAGTTCACTTTTGTGTCCCTTTGTACAAATAAATAACCATTCATTCATTCACTCGTTTATGGGTCTCCTTTCACTGGACAGTAAATGAATAGAAAGTCGTGCCGAAAGTATTTGTCAATTGGACACAACTGCAGGATTCCCAGAAAATTTCAATAGAATTCTGTTTGGGATCTTATATCTTATCAATCTAAATGGAGGCAATTAACTAGCTAATCAATCAAGTACCCAAGCATCAGCATGACTCGAAGCACTCGAATGATTTTCGGACTTCGATAAGAGCCCATACCTTGGGCAATTTAAAATTGAGTCTTCAGCTTGTTAAGGGGGCCCAAAACCAGATGCAGAAAACTCAACGAGACAGACTTTTGGGAAAATTAATTTCATTTATGGCTCCAGCAATTAAAAGCAACAGACCACATAGCAAAACCGCAGCACAGCTCTCTCAGATGAAAATTCAGCGTTTTAAAGGCTTAGAGCAAAGTGGCAGGCACTCAAAGGCTTATGCCATGCACACGAAGCAGCCGCAAACAGTGGCAAAATACCAACTTTTTTTCTATGTGAAAAGACCAACTTTTCTAACTAACGAAAAAAATACACCGCGTACATGTGTGTACACAAAAGAAACCAGAGGAAGAAAACTGCAAATAACAAGATTCGGTCATGTTTGATTCATGAAACCGGCAGCAGACCTAGCCCCTCCCTCACCCAATTGAACAACAATACGGGGAAATAAAGTTACAGTTGCAGTTGCAGTGGCCATGGCAAATGGAAGCCAACATTTCACACAATGGCGCAGAATCAGCAGCTTCAAAAGCTTCAGCAGCTGCAGTTCTTCCGGCCAGAAAAAACGTAAAAATAAACCCAAAAAAGCATCCTTTCGAGTGTAAAGTTTATGCAGGATTCCGCAGCAGCAGAGTTAATCATACGTCTGACAGTAAAAAATCGCCAGCTTGAAAGGCAAAAAGAAAAAAAAAGCAAGCTTCGCTTTTCACATTTTCCTGCTAGATTTACCGTGTATGTGGCATCAAATTGCGCATACGCCCCCGTAAACCGTTAAGTTGGCCAGAGATCTGCAGGCAATTTGATTAAGGCCAGCGAGCCATAAAGAATGTAGAGAAATGCTGAAATAAGGCTTATTTCTAAGCCAGCCAAGTCGAGCATAAAATGCAAGTTGAATTCTGCGAAAAATACGACTCAAAGGACTCGATTACGATTCCCCGTAAGCCGGGCACGGCAATTAAATTATGATGGCGATGATGGCAGAGGCGGAGACTAAATAAATTAAAAGAGATAAAAATTCCATAAAGATGACAGAAATCAAAAAAAAAAAAAAGGAGAAGAAAACAGGGAAAGGCAGAGGCAATAAATAATGGAAAAACATCCAAAAAAAGAGGACAAAATGGCGTTGACGGGCGAGTCTTAAGTCAGCTTTTGTGGCGAAACAAAAGACGCGCGAAAAGAACAAGATATTGGGATATCTAAATTACCGTTGTCACGCACCTAAGCACACACATATACGTATATATTATATATACTTACACATACATACAAGCAAGCCAGCACGTACACATAGAAATGTCAGCATTGTGTCAGCACGGAAACCAAAGTGAAAACCTTTCATTTCATTTTCCCCGCCCTTTCGAGCGGTCGAGTTCCATTGACTGTGCGAACAAAGGCCAAGGAAATGATAATTTTCCGCTTAACAGACACATACAGAAACCTTCACACATCCACACACATTTGGTTGTCGAAATAAATTGCCAAGAAATGAAATTGAAACGCTTTCAATTAACTCTTCGCATTGGGTTGTACTTAATCCTTGTCACATTAGCTCCAGCTTGCATTCTGGTTTCAATTAAGTCGATGTGACGCGTGTCTGAAATATTCATTGGGGGAAAATGGCAGCAAAGGGCATAATCAGGTGCGTTAAGGTGAATAATTTAAAAGTCTTGGGAGGAGTAGCAGTTTCCGTATCCCAGCGATAACACACATGCCAGCAGAATCTTCATCTGACCCCGTTCGAACTTAATTTCCATTTCAATTTTCCCCATTCATTGGGGTTCTTAGCCGCTCTATACCCTTCCCCTACTCTCATAGTTCTGCTCCCTGACCCTATTCGTTTCAGGACAAAAACTACAAACATACACTAGAAAAAAGGGGTTTTCCTTACTAACATCTAAACGAGAATATAAGGAGATACACAATTCGATTGGATATATGAACGAATTATCCATTTTTAACAGAAAAGTATGATAAATTGTACGCTTTTAAGGGCTATAACTTTGAAAACTATTAGTGAGCTATTTACAAGATAACAAGTTGACCCCAAACGAAGAATTGGCTTCCCAAATTGATTTTGCTCAGTATAGCATATAGTAAGCTAGGGGCGCCATTTTGGCTCTGTTTGCCGGCTCTAATGGATTTCCAAGGCGGAGCATAACAATTTGTTTGTGGGCCGAAACTGTTGCTCTAAACGGGAAGTCTGCCACAATGATTATTACGATGATAACGGCGTCGACGATGATGATGATGATGGCGGGGGGATAATGTGATTTTTCTCAGCGATTTGGAGGCAGCCTGCAACATCGTTGCCATTTTCATGCCAGGGCAGGCATACAAATTACATGACAATGGAAAAACTGTACAGTGTTTATCGGCAACATGAAGAGCAACCATGCCACAAACGAGCGGCAAACGTTGAAGCAAACAGAAAAAGGAACTTAAATCACTTGGCAAAATGTTTGCTTTGCTGATTGGCCACGACTTAATCAAGCTCTGCGTCAGCATTTTCATTCATTGAAAGATTGATTGATGCACTAACTGATTGCTAGTTTTTTTTTCGTTGCCGCCCCACAGCAAACATCTGGTCAACCATCCATCAGCCATCATCGAGAAGCAGTGGAACCTGCGGCTGACACACGGCAAATTGTCAAGTCCAGCGTCGCAACTCTTTGGCAAACACAACTGGTTTTCTTGTTTCTGTTAAAGTTTTTTCAAAAGGGTATAAAGGTCGGGGGTGTTGGGAAACCCCCGGCGGAAGCCCGACCACAACCCAAGTTGGGCAGCAAATAGTTTGTGCCACCCACACCCACTTGATATGGCAATGGCAAACAACTTTAACAACGCTATCTAAACCAACTTTGGCATGTCAGGGCCTCGACTCCTCCGCATTCAGTCAACCCCCGCTTGGAGTACAGTCTGGTTTGAGGAAAGGGGCTCTGGAAAATCAATAGCAGCCTTGCGACATATATATACACGCATATATTTATGCGGCACGCAGCTGCTTTCCCCTCTTCGACTTCATTTCCCCATTTTCCATTTTTCGTTTCCCGCTTCCCGTTTCACGTTTCCAAACTCCATCCGCTTTCACTTCACTCTGTAAATCATGGCCAGCAAGTGATAATATCCTGCTCGAAAACTCGACTATTTGACACTTTTAGCTAGCTTGGCGATTATTCACTGAAACTGAGCTTATCGCACAGAATATTATTTTAAACTTAAATAGCAGTTAAGTAGTAAAGGAAACTATGGCAAAGTAGTTTAGTTAGTATATACAACCCCATATATCTTCCAACTTAATGGCCTACGGGGCTTGTTTAGAAAGCATTGTTGATTATTATTTATGACAGCGTTTTGTCTGAGATTCGCTGTTGTGAAATAGATGTGATTCTTTGTGTGACTCGCTTGGCAACTGGCATTAAGTTCGGCTAGATGACTGCATGCTTGGTTCAGGACAAGGGAAGCCTTACAAGAAAATACTATTAGTCAAAGCGAGACGTGACTAATGTACGAGTATACCAAGGACCTCAAGTTGTTTTTCCAGATACAAGGAAATCCCCTAATGACCTTTTCTGCTCGCATTTGAGTTGCATATAAATCGTTGTGCCCTGTGTATAGTGCAATACCCTGGCAAATGGCATCCTCATTCTCTATGGTATGCTGACATTTAAGGTTGATGCGATTTGAAATCAAATCAATGTCAATGGCAGCTCGCGCAGCATTGCAATGCGTTGGTTATGGCGATGGCGATACTGGCCTTGATTGCGATGCCTGATTGCCATTGACCAGTGATGTGGCTCCTCCAGGGCGGATATGGACACGCATAATTGACAGGCATCTATCTGCCGCACACACCAAATCAAAAGCACTCACACGCACGCAGCTCCAGATATGGTTTGAAATGTGTAGTCTACTTTCAGGCAGTCTGCCTAAAAGCCTGTTTCCGGTGATACCAGAATGTGCGCCTTGTTGCGTCCACTCCGCAGTCAAGTGGCAAGCACACGCCCACTGACGCCCAAACACTTTCAGGCAGACATACAGGAAGAGAAAAGAAAGCCCCAATATTATGGTTTCTTTGTTAATATTAAAATTTTTGTATTCGAAGGCTCTTTACTCAAATATTTAAATCAGCTTAAATAGAACTTTTCTTAGAGAAAAATAAACAACTTTATGGCGCATTAAAAAATATTTTTAATATAGAGAAATAAAATTATAGTGTTTTGAAATGGCACATTTAAAGGATACTAAAACTTCCAGACATAATAGTTTATAGGGAAACTATATTAAAAATTGTCTTTTTTAAAGATGGATGACTAAAGATATGATTGTCTTAGTTTGAAGTAAGTTTAAGCTTTTATGCATCAGTTATTAGTTTGTTAAATAGTTTATTTCTGTATTAAATCAAGCTAAATTCTTCTCAATGTTTATCATGAAACTTTTCCCGCATTGCTGAGACTTTCGCTAAACGCTTTATGCTCAGCTTTGTGTGCGTATCCTTGCAGAAGTGTGAAATACAGTTATAAATAAATAAGAATGCTCGAAACTCACACATTCGCACACATCCTTATGGCGAGGGACATAAAAAAAGGGGATATTGTTAAATAATAAACAGTTTACGCTCTGACAACACACACAAAACAGGCGTGAAAATGAAGGGCGGTGGGAGCGTGGCCGTTCAACTGTCAACACAAAATGATACACATCTGCACTCCTTTACACACACACTCACACATTCGTAGCAGATAAGGACCCACTCATACACTCACAACATACCATCCCATACCATCCCATACCATACCATACCACTCACAAGTTTTGTGACAAGAAGGCATTTCAAATCGACGATTCGTATAACGACCGTCATCAAACTTGTTGTTATAACGTCGCAGCTACAGCAACAAGGACAATATCAAAATGTCGCCAATAACTGGGGGGATGTTGAAGCTAAGGACGGGGATAAAATATGCTGACATCGCCAACTGTTCCCACTCGGTCCCGTATTAAACATGTCATTTGACGTCCCTGGGATTCGAACACCGAACACCGAAACCTGTCAGACATTCTCTTGTTAGCATAACGAATCTAAATACCTCTGTCACGGAAGCCTGACAAATCTAGTCCCTGAAACAAAGCCCACACAAAGGATATAACAAACTAGAGCTAACCTTATCTGCCGGGGTATAAAATCAACACCGTTGAATAAGGGGTATTTCGATGTAAAGCGATTTATGGCTTAAGTAAAGTGTGCAGAAACATTCACTGGCAGATTTACCTTGATTTAAGATTTCACCGAAAAGGACTTTGAATCTCGGTGAAAGTGTCAAGATTCCCAAGTGAATTTTTTTGTGAGCATGTTGTGGCTAACTTTGACTTAGGCTCAATATTTTATTCAGTTACTTTCAGGCCACATATCTAATCTAAGCAATGAGCTTTTTTTGTCAAAGTTTCTGTTTTTGGCTCTCACGATTGGACAATTGCATAATTGCGGATAGTATCTTTAAGTCCATGACGTGATAGTAGCTATCAGTGCTTATTAAAACTGGATCATATAACACACAAAGCGGTCTAAAAAGCTGGAATATCAAGATGGAGGGGCAGCTATCAGGTATGGTCGCACAAACGTAATTGCCCTACTTATCGCCGGTGGTTCGGTTGCCACTATTGTATTTCTCCCTATCGAGTCGCCGTATCTGAGGCCGTTACGTGCGTCATATGTGTACATATATATATATATATATATATATATATGATCGCCAGGGGACAGAAACTTTAGCTAAAAACGCCAGTTGATATCTGCGCTTGCCAAAGTGGCGATTTGATTAGACGACACGCGAATGCTCTGATTTATACTTCATGAAAATCAAAATCGAAACAGAGCTAACGATTTACCCAAGAGTCAAGCACTAAAAAGGACCGAAACCGGATCCCCAGGTGAGTGCGTGCCACCACGCCCATTGCTTGTCGCCGAGCCAGCTCCAATCCCGTTATCTCATCAGTACTGCGCACCTGGCTGAGCGGCAGTACTGCGGCTCAGTTGCTTGCCAGGAAGCTAGCGAAGAAGAAACTATGAATTGTCACGCCTGAGACAAACTACAGGGTTCTCTACTATCAGCTCTTGAGTCTCCGAAGCTCAGTTTCCAGTCGAGTCCCGATTCCAGATTCCACATCCCCACCAGCTGCATACAAAATAGAGTCAATCCCATCGCGAAGTGAGTATCCCTGGCGACAAATCCCGCAGCATTTCACGTATATTAGAATCGTGAATGAGATGTCTTAGACTATTCACAGTGGCAGTCGCAATAGTAGCATTTTCCGTTTATTACCCATTTCTTGTGAAATCCTAAAAGTGAAACATCTGTGACTCGATTCTGACTAAGAATATAAAGTGAGAAATTTGATACAGGTTATGGGTTTCTATAGCGCATTGAAGGCATTATATATGCACAACGGTCAGTGATTAAATTAAATCTCGTTTTAGAGGTGCCAACTTAGATAAATTAACTGGCAAAAAAATGTGTTCTGTGATTCATTTTTATTAAAAAACAATTATAAACAATTTTAAAGTTGGTATACACGTGTAAGAATCAACTACATTCCACCTCTCAAATCATGAATAATCAGAAGTAAATTTTAAATTATTACTATTATCATTATTGGGTTTTAAGAATTTCTTTTTCACAAACTCAAACGCAATGATATGTTCCGGCCAAAATCCAGGATTAGATATCTTTTCATACAACGGAATAGGCACCAGGACCTTAAACGACGATATATTTTCATTTTTTTTATTCCTGAATTTTTGCACTACAATGTCATCGGGATTGGCATTGTAAAGTTTAGTAACTATGTAATGCTTTAGGGCATCTTCAGTAGTCGAAGGCAAGAGCCTAGAGACAAACAAAGCCTTTATAGGAGGAACAGCTCTTAGGAAGTTCGGAGTAGGTAGAACTCTAAGATCCGGATTATGATATTTTTTAGGAGGTACAGCAAAAATCGAGGGGTATTTTATATCAGATGCCTGGGTAGTTTCAGTTTCCCCTTCCAAAATAGATTTTTCCTTGGTAGTTGTAGAACTTTTAAAGAGATCTGTAACACGATCAGAGTCATCATCAGCAGGATTAGCAGGACCTTGAGAGTCTAGAATATCTTTTAAGGTTGAAAATACGTTTAGTTCTTAAGAAAAAAAGAAATGTTATCATCTTACGAGATGAAAAGGCTGATTCCAGCTTCAAAACCTTATCATGGACAGCTCGAACTTCGTTGAAGAGTTCGATAATTTCCATGCGCGTTTGCCTCATAAATCTTCCCATTTGAGATTTTATTACTCTGCAGTCCTCACAGGACCATTTGAGACCATTTTTTCCTTCGATTAAGTTCCGAATATTTTCACTTATGTCTGCGCATTCGATATGGGCATATCCGTCACATAACCAGCATTTAACATTCTCTTCGGTCGTTATAACATTATTGAATTCGCACTTTTCCATGCAGCAGGTCAGCGGTTCCATAGCTATGTAGGCAAGTGTTAAAAGCAGACTAAGATTTTACTAATGACTGCAATCAGGTTGGAAGCACAATGAGTCGAAGAGATAACTATTCACAACTAGATAAAACCTTAATAATTTATTTCTAACAGCAGTCCATTTGTTTAGGACAAAATCACGATAGAGAAACACAAACACAAACAAACAAAATAAGTGCTCAAAATATCATAATAACGAGGGAACCCGGGGAAATTGTTGGAAATTCAAGAGAACAGATTAAAGACGTCAATGTGTTTCGAAGTTCGAATGAAGAGTGGTGTTTGTGATAAGACTTTTTGTAAATATAACCGAAGAGCCCTTGAGATCGCTGAAGACTATCGCTAGGCCTAGTTAGTTTTTATACCCATTACCGGTAGAAAGTATATTGACGATGTCAAAAAGTCTGTAACAGATAGTAGGCGGTTCAAACGAGTATAATCTTGATCTGAATCATATTCCGATTTTATCTACCCATGTCAGTCTACTTTTGCGACTGTCCGGAGATATACGTAGATGAAGAGTTTTCAGTTTAAATTTGAAATACAGTATATTGAAAAAATCAAAAATTTAGAGTTCTCCACCAAGAATGTTGGCGATAGCACCAAAAATACAAGTCTCGAGTTTTATATTTTATGTGCTAGAATTATGATCACATCTGTATGCCCATGACGATGTGTGGGAATAGAAATGAAATGCGCACGGAAAGCCGCTTAGCTGGGAGACGGAAAATATGCGAATAAATTATGTGTGGCCACCTAGCACACATATGAACATGCATATCCACATGAGATGCTGTAATCCTCACATGTCTGCCCGGCATATTGGGTCTCTGCAGGCGTCTTTTGTTCACGATGAAAGTGTTTTTGAAATGAGGAACCACACGGTCAACAAAATTAGCACGGCATTTGCATGGCTACCGAAATGATTGCCTGAATTTTGTTAAACTTAGCTGAATACCGCAGACAATAATAAACAAACTAGAAAAAGAAAGGCTAAACAAAATTATCGGGCAAAGAGCGAAAGGTGGAGGAAATGTCAGATAATAGAGAGCTCAGACCACAAGCAAATGTTTAATAATAAAAAGGGGAATCGTCACACACACGCTGTCATGACGGTACTTAAAAATACTAAACTACATTTTGTTTGTTGAAGGCTGTTTAAAATTGGATATATATACTTAAATCGAACACAAAATAAAATTTATTATTTATTATTAAAGTTCATTATTTATGCTAGAAAAGAATAGAAAACGAAAGTCTTAGATCTTTTGGGTTAAGATCATCTGTGATTAAATAGTTTACAAATGATATTTACTAATGTAAAAACAGCTCAAGCAATTTTCATTAAATATTTACTCAGACTCGTAAATAGATTTACACACTACTTTTTATGTTCTTTGAAAAAATCGTATTTTCCCTTTGAATTATTACCATTTACGTTTCAACACTACAGAATGATAGATTTTTTTTCCCATTTTCCGTTTCTTCTCCTATTTTTTGTGCCTGAGAGTTCATCCGATTTCCCATAGTAAGTGTCTGGCTGGCCAAACCAAAAACCGAAAACTATAAAAAAGAAATGAAAAAAAAACGAGCACAGAACAAAAGCCGTGCAGACCAAATAATTATGAACTGGGGGACAGAGACATGACAGAGGAATACCGACAGATAAAGAGAGAAAATAGAGGCAGACAGACAGGTGGTAATATGGGGATTCTTGCGATGGATTTAGTCGTGCGTTGGCTGCCAAATGCTTTTGCAAATCGAGAATCGTGAAAAAATGGAATCCGAAATCTGTGCCAGCTGACGAGCAACTGAACTTCGGCGGGTTCTCTCTATTTATATAGAAAAACATATGTATACTGGGGAATTACTTAACAGCAAATTAGCGGTTGCGTTTGATTTACTAGACCATTTCGAACGGGAATGTTCCTTGAACTTGGGACCAAACCGAAAAATTGGATCTACTTCAATACGTCCGAAACGTATGTACATACGTTTGTGTAACGTAAAAGCGCCAGCGTAACGTAAACAAAGTGCCGTTAGTTAGTTTGGCCCGCTCATCTTTGCCCATTCTCATTACTACACTGGGGGAAATTGTTAATAATTATTTGATAAAACATATATTCCAAATAGAATCACATTTTATTAAATACAAAATCCCATTATGATGATGAAACTGTAGAGTAATTTTAGAAGTTATTTACCTATAAAAATGTAGGGCATTTTATCAGAAATTATAACTATGTTTGACTTTTACTTTGTCCTTCTTTGTCTTCTCATGACACTTTTGTTTGAACAATATTTTATAAGCTAATTCACTTACTAATGATAGATTGACTTTTAGTTAAGTTTCAGATTTTTATATATTGACTTAGAAGCGAGGTGTCGTTTTTAAATTAATTAGTGTTTGAATCATAGTTTTGATATGCTAAATAACCCTGTTAATATAATTTGTAGCGATTTAAATATGAGTTTAAAATACCTACAAATTTCTCCCTGTGCATTTCTATTCCCATTCCCACGTTCATACTCTTTCATATTCGCTCAGTCGCATTCTCAGTCACAATCCTTGGCGAAACGCGGCGCGTTCGATCGCCAGACGATTATATTATTTTTTGTTTGTGCTAAATTTAAAAATCCACGTTAATTTTAGTTGTACGGCCTTTAACGAGTCTATAAGGCTGCCTGAAAAATCAGTTCGATACATTTGATAAGCTGAGCAATGTAAGCAACGTGATAGCTGGCATTTTCACTTGCCCGGGGCCAAAGCTTTTTAATTAATTTGCAATCTCTTAACCCGACGTGCAACCATTTTCCAATAATGGCCAAATGCAATTTACCACCGGAATGGAAAACGGATGGTGGATGGGATAGAAGGAGGATGAATGAAGTGGGAAAATTGGAACGCTTGCCCAGCATATGTTCCGTGCTCCCAGGGGCGTCTATTTGTCTCATCTTCATTTACTTTCTCCCGTTTCCCCCCGATTTCTCCCTACTCATTTCCCATTTCCCCAGCTGTTTTCCATCTCACTCGCTCAGTCATCAGTCTGTCCCACTCTTTGTCTATCCACATATATCGGCGCTGCTGTCGGCTCTTGTTGTAATTGCTAAATTAATGCAAACGTTGATGATTATCTTAGCCCCTTCGCCATAAACCGTTGGGCATATTGATTTATTGGATTTCGAAGCCAGCGCCAAAAGGGTTGTGCCATCCGAACGATGGTGCTTGTGATCCAAATGTGCATATTAAAAAAAAGATACCAAACTATAAATACGCTAAAAGTCTGAATGCGAAAGCTTAAGCGGCAACTTTAACTCGACGAACTGTAAACGAAAAGTTCCTAGTGTCAGTTTTCCTCTTAAGGAGAAAATCATTTCCAGTGAACCAAAAGTGTCTCTATTAAACACTGGAAAAAAAGAATATTGCCTCATAAACAAGCCATATGTGCAAATATAAAGTAATTAAAGTCAATACAGCAATCAACTCAAATAAATATGGAATAATCAATTGGCTTTACCTTCATATATGTATTTATGAAAATGAATAGTGCACCAAATGAAACGGTTTTAAATTATGTTTCGTAAGAATCACATTGATTAACGCCAGAATTCAAGGCCATAATTTAAGCAAAGGTCAAATTAAATTGGGCTATAATACATACTCATATAATGATTTATTATTAATATCAAGTTCTTGTATAAACAAGACTAAAGACTACGACTATATTAATATGAAAATAATATAAACTTTTATGGTTTAGAAAGTTTAATTAAATTCTTCAATTTTCTTACTAAGAAAATCATTAAAAATCTATTAGCAGTGATATAACTTTTTATGATGTTTAATAGTTCTCGGTGCAGTGTTCCCCTCGACTTGTTGCCATTTGAAGTTTTAAAAGTCGTTTCCCCATGTCTTCAGACCCCCTAGTTTCCCCAACTGTCAACAGTTTTTATCTGCAAGTTTGCAATTCACTCGAATTTCCCTGCTTTATTTTCTGCATTTATCTTGGGTCTGTCTTGTCAGTCACTTGTTTGCTTTTTGTTGCCAGCCAAAACGTTAATGTTTTTAGTTCCGTTTCTGGTTCCCGTTATTGACATTGGAGAATTATGTACACATGTATATAATATCGATCTCTGCCAAGACCATTCCTCTGCACTTGCCTCTCTTTCGGCTTAAAATTGAATTTGCAACAAACTTTGTGCAGCTGAATTTCATCTAGGTCTGTTTTTCATTTCCTCGGAAAATGAACTTTGTTTGCTTGTAGTTTTTTCGTCTGCTCTGGCGAATTTTATAGCTGCACTTTTGTTTATGTTTTATGCTGTCTATTTACGCATTTAATTTCGTTTTCGTGTAAATACACAAAACAGCTGAACGACGAATGCCTGGCAAAGCTCAAAGAAAAGCTACACCCCCAACGTCCACCTCCACACACAGGGCGAAATACTGACTCTTCATAAATTTAATTTCGAAAATTTTTGCGGAGATTGTTTTGTTACTACGGGAACAAGGCAATGATTTTGCCGAAAAGCAATTATTTTAGTTACTTAAATGAGTTTATCTGTATCAGTTGTATAAAAATATCTACAATAATTCTCAACTATTTTACATTCTCTTTGTTTCAATGTACCTAGTTTTGAAGGTTTTAAAACATTGGCAAAGCCTTAAATCAATGCAATATAAATATTCTTTACTGATTGTGGGTAAGTCAACGATTTTGTAGATGCCTTTGAGACACAATTTTTGTATTGGCTTAAGGAAATTGCTATTATCATGATTATGTAAAAAGGTTTTCTTGGTTTGTTAGCCGCAGCTTGAAATATTTAGCCAATTCATATCATGCGTGTATTATTTGTTAGATTTTTTGCTAAACCCATTGTACCACCCTACTTGATGCATCTCCTTGCCGCCCGTTTGGTGATCTAGGCGGTCTATTCTAGCGACTATTTGCGGGCTTTCGCAACCTTCACAGTGGCATTGCGCTTGGCGACACACTCGTGATGCAATGCACCCGAAATAGGCGACCAAGAATAGGAACCGCAATCGTAATGGTCGCAAGTCAACCAACTAACTAACTAACATCTTTCCCGTCTCTTCCTTCCCTCAGGTGCAGCGGCCCAACTGCGTCAGAGTGTTGAACGTGCCATTGCGAGAATGCCGTCTCGCGGTCCCACGTCATAGTCACCATCATTAGCACCGGGCGACAGCGACATTGGCGACACTGGCAACCAGCAACTAGCAACTAGTAACAACACTCCTAGCAGCAACATTAATTGCAACTGCAGCAGCAGCAACTTGCATCTAGCAACAAGCAACAGCAACTGCACCAGCACAAATCACAGCCAAATCGAACGCAACAAAGCTTCCAAAGTTAGGCCAACGGGACAGCCCAATCACTTCCAGGATAAGGAGAAGCCATTATAATTAATACCCAGCCATGCAGTTGCTCATCAAGTCCATCTTCACCTGCGCACTATTTGTGATCTTTGTTTATGCCACCGCCCAGTCGCTGATCAAAGTCCAGGAGAGCGAAACGCGGCGGGCGTATCTCAATATCACCTCCTCCTCCGACCTGAGTAGTAGTAATCTTAGCCTGGATGACGGCCCCTTCCTTAGCCGGCGGCTAAGACAAGTGGTTCATGGCGAAGAGGGCGACGAAGGCGCGCCGTCTCAGTTGGAGGATGATCTAAGGCAGATGAAGAAGACCAATGTGGACGCACCGGACGTGGAAGAAATACGTGAATGCAGTGTGGGTCTCGTCCTTCCCGTGTGGATGCCGCAGAAGCATCTTTCCATTGGTGACCGCCTCATCCGAGGCTTTGTCTACTTCATCCTTTTGATCTACCTGTTTGTGGGCGTGTCCATTATTGCGGATCGCTTCATGGCCGCCATCGAAGCCATTACATCGATTGAACGGGCAGTAGTGGTAAAAGGCCCCAACAACACAAAGCAGGTGATGCACGTCCGTATCTGGAACGAAACAGTGGCCAATCTCACGCTAATGGCTCTCGGATCGAGTGCACCCGAAATCCTCCTCTCCGTTATAGAGATTTACGCCAAGGACTTCGAGAGCGGTGATCTTGGGCCCGGCACCATCGTGGGATCTGCCGCCTACAATCTGTTCATGATCATCGCCGTGTGCATGATCTGGATTCCGGCGGGCGAGGTGCGGAGAATCCGTCATTTGCGGGTATTCTTCGTTACTGCCGCCTTCTCGATCTTCGCCTATGTGTGGCTGTGGCTTATCCTATCCGTGTTCACGCCTGGCGTGATCCAGGTCTGGGAGGCGATCGTGACCTTGCTATTCTTCCCGCTGACCGTCCTGTGGGCCTACATCGCCGAGCGGCGGCTACTGGTCTACAAATATATGGACAAAAACTACCGGGTGAACAAGCGCGGCACCGTGGTTGCCGGCGAGCACGACCAGGTGGAGATGGATGCGGAGAAGGGCCCTAAACACCCGATGGTCACTTCCGGTCGCGCCAACGAGGCCGAGGCCTTCGACGAGGCCCGTCGAGAGTACGTCACTGTACTGACAAAGCTGCGCCAAAAGTACCCCGACGCCGATCTCGAGCAACTTGAAATGATGGCCCAGGAGCAAGTGTTGGCGCGGAGCAGCAAGTCGCGCGCCTTCTACCGCATCCAGGCCACTCGCAAGATGGTCGGCAGCGGCAACCTAATGCGCAAGATCCAGGAGCGAGCCCACAGCGACCTAACGGAGGTCAAAGCCCAGCTGCACTCCGGCGACTATGACGAGACGGACGACCTAATCCGAATGTATTTCGAGCCCGGCCACTACACCGTCATGGAGAACTGCGGTGAGTTCGAGGTGCGAGTGGTCCGTCGCGGCGACCTCTCCGTGTACGCCAGCGTTGAGTACGAGACGCAGGATGGCACCGCCTCCGCCGGAACCGATTTCGTGGGCCGTAAGGGCCTGCTCAGCTTCCCGCCGGGCGTCGACGAGCAGCGCTTCCGCATCGAGGTAATCGATGACGACGTCTTCGAGGAGGACGAATGCTTCTACATCCGCCTTTTCAATCCCTCCGAAGGCGTCAAGCTGGCCGTGCCGATGATAGCCACCGTTATGATTCTGGACGACGACCACGCGGGCATCTTCGCCTTCACGGACTCGGCCTTCGAAATCACCGAATCCGTCGGCAAGTTTGAGCTGAAGGTGATGCGCTACTCCGGCGCCCGTGGCACTGTCATTGTGCCCTACTGGACGGAGAACGACACGGCCACCGAATCCAAGGACTACGAGGAGGCTCGTGGCGAACTCGTCTTCGAAAACAATGAATCTGAGTGAGTTTAAATTTACATTATTTATTTACATGATATTTATTTTTGTTTAAACAAAACTCAACAATAGTTCAAATATTACAATATTTAATAGATTTAATAGAAATAATCTATGACTGAGCTATCTACCACGTATTATCTATTTCGTGCTGAAGCCACGGAAACAAAAGTTACTTTCTTCTTTTGATTTCTTGTTTGACCTACATAAGCGTTAACCTGGATAACATTAGTTTTTCGGTTAAGTCGTGAATACACATGCATGCCTAGAGTCCCGGATTGCTCCGCCCCCTGGTTTCCAGGGATGTGTATATCCCGACGCCTGGTGTCACGCAATGCGAACTCCCAACGGAGTCTTTCGGCAAACTCGCAATTTCCGCTTTGGGGAATAGACAGGCGTTGGTGGGATATGCGTGAGACAGTGCGCTGCGAATCGATTAAAGTCAAAATAATTGGGGCTTTTAATTGCCACACCAGTTGCCAGATGGCATTGGCAGTGGCCGGGTGCGGAGTTTCAGTTTGTATGCCACTCTGCAAAATGGCAAACAGTGCGTAGTCATCGTAGTGGTGCTACAGCACCACCTGTTCCCCCAACTCCAAACTCCCAGCGCACAGCACCGAACTCGCGAATCTATTGTGAGCAAATGTGTGTTTGGGTATACAGTCCTCCTGCTGGGTGCTTCTGGCCCAATTGTCCTGGCTGCGTGCTGGGTGACAACGCCAGACATCCAACCATCCCTTCCAGACATTAACACCCCGAACGTTGCCAAGCAAGCGACTGTAATTAATTTTGCAAAATTTATTCATTTTGACAAACATTTGGCAGACGACAGCCGCACTCAGTTAACTGCTGCTTTTGCATATGTTTTTGCGGCTTTCATGGCCATGTCCGAAATGTCGGGCAACACGCAACATGGCCACATATATAGGTCAGGCGTGATCGAACCAGTTTGGAGGATGGCTTTCTAAGATGATTTATGGCCCGAGAAAATGCCCAGCATATGCCGGGAATTAGGCTGGACGAAAATCTGGGAAATGGCTTCAATTTGATGGGTACTAATCATGATTTACTTACTGACTTAATTAGTGCATAGACAGGACCTTTTACACTGAGCGGAACTAGAAGTTTTAGAAGTTAAGTCCTTAAATTTGATTAAAATATAATAAAAAACTTTTCAATTATTATTAATCATTTAAAATATATATAATGTTTATTAGTAATTTTGTCGCAATCAAAAATCCCATTTCTATTTATTATTAGATGACATTTTTCGCTCACTCACTGTATTTATTGTTTACTATGTGAAGCTTTTCCCCTGAGACATTTCTGTATTATATTCCTAAGACTTCTTCTGTACAAAGCCTCATTTAAGTCTGTCCTGGTTTTCTGCAAAATCCCCGGGGCTGTTTTGCGTAAAATGGTTTCAAACACGTCGCCACAGACATAACATGAATTTTTGAGGATTTCTGCATTATTAAGTAGCAGCGAAAGCGGAGCGGACAATTAGAGGAACGTGAACGTCAACGGGGGAAAACGTACAACAATTAAGTGGCAACGATGCCGTACGGCGTGTGAAGATGTACATGGGAGGAGCTGATGTCGTGCGATGGCACGATGTGTCCGTGTCCGGGTGAAATGCTCCCAAAGTGCTCGTTAAGCTGCTCCGGAGCTGTTGCCTGTTGGGCAGTCAGTTCTTAAGTCGTTTTCCCATTTGCACACGACGGTTGAAATACTTTTTAATGTTTGTGTTCCAACTGGCTGAATGCAATTGCCTTCGCTCTATTTGAGTCGCAATTATTTGCTAACTTTTAAAACGTTTCATTGTCGCCATTGCCAGTACCCGTACCCGCATCCGTGGCCGAATAAATTTCCGGCTCCTCCTTCGCTGAGTAAGTGCACGTCCTGGCGATCCTTGCGGGCCTTTTGTGGCATTTACAGCCACTCAAGTTGAATGCCTTGCGGTGCCGTTGGTAATAATGTTTGTTTTAATGTTGCCAGTTTCGTTGGCAAGCTGCCAGCCAAGAAAACCCGAGCCAATTGCCTGTGCAACTCCCACACATCGATGACGATCTCGAGGGCATCTTCGCTACGACCACCAGCCTCTCAAAGGAAATGCGATTCAGCGAAAGTTGCCATAAACTAGCGTCCACAATTAAGCGAGTTTTGATGTATTTTTAAATGGCCATTAAAGAGCGGCACTTTAAAGAAAGTGCGGCTTGAAAAAAAAGCGGAAAGCCAAATTACATTGCTGGAAAATCTACTTTGAAGTCGATGCGTGTGGCTGTGGCTGCAATAAATTTGTTTTTTCGCCACAACAACTTTCTCTTCACTTTACTTTAATGAAAATCAAAATCCACCTCAGCTTTACATAGCCACGGATATATATATAAGACATATACATATATATATATAGATATAGCTGTAGAACCCAGACATTTGCCAGCTTTCAGGCAGCGGAAATGCGCAACAGCAGCAGCCATGTAGTCGGTCGTCATAAAAAAAGCGGCACCAGCAGCAGTAGTCAGTAATGCCATAAAGTTCCCCAACGAAACTGGAAAAAAGAAGAAAGAAGTAGTAGGGACTGGGCTACAAAGTGCCAACACTGTTGCATAAATTTGTATAATCTGCTGGGTGCCGGGGAGTGGGAAGATTTGGATTGAGTTATAGGACCTTAAATAACCGACTCTTGCAGCGCGGAACGTGTATTAAAAAGAGGCCAAAATCCATAGCCTACTTTTTCTGGGCCGCATTTAAGATAAACACCCCGGGGAGAAGCAACGTTTCCATTAGTTAAGCCAGACAGGTTTTTCAGACAACTTTCAGTGTGCGTGGCATTTGTTAATTAGCCACAATTTAGGTGGCTTGGCACATGGCCTAAATGCTGTTCCCCAGTGAAAAAAGAACCAGCGAGTGAGAAAGTGCCAAATTAAAGATTCTCTTTTGGGGGCTTCAAGACATCCAGGTTTTTATAGACAATCCCGTGTGAGCACCGCAAATAGGAAGGAGGATGCCTCGTGTACATAAAAGTCAAACATAAAATATGCACAAAAGAACGGTAAAGGAGAAGTACGCAGATAAGAGCAAATATTTTATTAAGCACACATAATCTAAAATTGAAATTTATGCTATTTCCACCGAAGTATTTCTTGATTCTGGTTTCTGGAATCCGACCAACTTACAAGTTATCATCATCGTGTGCGGCTTTTGCTTTCACTTTTCGTGTAGCATTTCCTGTGGCCGGCGGGGAATTTCCCGGAACGGGCCAGCTGCCTAACTGACTGACAAGTAAACGGAGTCTGCTTCCAAGTGGTTGTCTTCGTCCATCCACAATACCATCCCCATCGCCCCATCCTCTTGTCTCCCTTTGTGGCAAGCTGCCTAACTGCCAGCCGTTTCCCATCCATGTGAGCGTGTAAAGTGAAGGGGGAGCACACAACCGCAGTGCCCTCCACTAAGACCATTTGGAGGTACTCGGGCAGCCACTCCCTGAATCCCGAGACGGTTGTCTGCCAACCTGAGAACTCGATCCACAAGGAGCTGATACCTTAGGGGGATATTACGGATTCTTAACAGTGTTGCCAACTTTGGTTTGGCAAAATTAGCTTTCATAGGTATATCGTTTTTTCATTTTAAAGGAAAACATTTAGACAACTTAAGGTAGGAAGGAGTTAATCATAAAAAATTAAATATAAATACTAAAAAATTGTACATTTAATCAGATTGTGGTTTATCATTTGGTTATATTTGTAGGACAAATCGCATAAACAACCACATATGACTAGAATATATCGAAGTAGGCATCTCTGGGCCAGTTACTGATAGGACACCAGGCTGCAAGGAACAAACAGAGAATGTGGCTCATGTGTGTGCCTTTTAAGCCACCAACAAACACACAAAGTTATTTACGGTTTACATAATTTGCCCAACCGAGTCAGATTCCTGGGAATATCTACAAAGGGTATCTGCAATTCGATCGGGCCAAGTGTGTGTAGGCCAAAGTTTCTTATTTGCTATTCAATTTGCTTTGGGCCTGGGTGGCTTGGGTCCCAGCTCTTGGCTTGGAATATAAATTACGAAAGGACGGCAACAGGCAGCAAATTGTCTGTCCGTTGGCTCGTCCATCCGTCCGCCCTAGCCAATGTCAATTGGTTGTTTGTGCTGTTGTTGCCGCTGATTCTTGGGCCTGGGTATCTCATGTTTATCTGGATGTCGTTAGCATGAACTGTTCCTTCTGGGGTCGGCCCAGATCCCCCAGTTCATCAGGTTCCCTTTATTTTGGTTACTTCTGTTTTTATTTGCCTCGTTCGCCCGCTTGTTGTTAGTATTATTATTATTATTATGACATCAACGGGAACAACAAGGACTGCTGAACTTAATCATCACCATGGGCCTGGGCGCACACCAAGCACCGAGATGAACATCCTCTTGGGGGCATCTGTTGCTCAAAGGGGTTTAGGGTTACCCCAAAGTTGGTTATCCCCCCATCTTTTCAAACATACACCTTAGCAACGGGCTTGAGTTCGATTCGAGGCTCTTTAAAGCTCGTTGTACTGCCAAGTAAAAGTAATAAAATTGCGATTTGCTTTGGTAATTGCAACACAAATTAAATAAAACCATCTCGCACCTAGGAAAAGTTTTCTAATAAGAGAAAGTACTGCTGAGGCGGCGTTAAATTTGGAAAGCAATTTCGCTGGCTTAAGTGCTTTCGGCAGCGTCAATTATAAAATGTTTATTTTAGCCAAAATGCCAGATGAAGGTTAAGTGCGTTTATTTTCGAGCACAATTAGAAGTTCCTCGAAGGAAGAAATATTTTATTTCAGGGAAAACCTTGATTATTGATTTTCTAACTCTTTGAGTGCAAATGCCAGCTGGAACAGGTGCACTATGTTTTGTGGCATCTCAATCTGCGCTGATTTATGTTTGCCCTTCAAACAACTCAATAAACCGGCAGGCAGCTGAAAGTGACAGACCACCTACGACAAATGATGAAAAGCGCACAAAGCAC